GGGGGGTGAACTTTTTTACCTCTGTTTTTTGTTATTTATAAATTGAGACAACAGAAAGTGGAAATTAAAGAAAATGAAAAAATCAAATTTCTAGGGCCGAAGACATTGTGACAGAAGATGCGAAAGTTAGAAAATCTCAACCAGATAAACCTATTCATAGGTAAAGATGCTGCTTCGGAAAATCTACGCACTTTGTTTGGTCTAATAAATACTGTAACAAATGTCGTCTTTTCTACGGCATAATGGTATTTTTTGTTTGCTTGGAAGTTCCATTCCATTTAAGGATTCATACTTTTGAACCCAAATCGCCACAAATCAATTGACGAGTAAATGGGTTAAAAAAGCATTTGTTCCAAATATTTATTTGCTTATGATGAAACAAAAGAGACATTATTAACTTACATTCTTTTACATTTTATAGTTAGTGTTTTCATATCTCGTAGCACTTGAAAAAACATATTTGACTACATCTGAAAATTTTCACTAACGATATTATTGGCTATTTTTCATAAAAAAGAGATGCTTGACTTATTCACAAATTCAGGTTTATTTTAACATTAGATTCTTTTATCCAACAAAGGATTAAATAACTTCTAAAATACATTGTGTTTACTTTTAGCAAAAACATTCACAAAATTGTGTTAAACAATTACGGTTTTAATGCATATCATTGAACGATCAAGCAATCAAAATTACTAACTTAAAGTCAAATACAGCTGTACAGAGCTGTAAAATAGTCAAATAAATTTCTAATGAAGCATCTTTATATTAATAGAGAGTCTTTGGGTAAACCTACTATTATATACTGATATACTATATGATTAAAACTAATAAACCTATTTTACAAGTAAATTTATATAATTGTGGACTAATACACCTATTTTATGAGTACAACTATATTATTGTAGACTAATAAACCTCTTTTACGAATAAACCTATATTATTGTAGACTAGTAAACCTATTTTACAAGTAAACATAGACTAATAAACCTATTTTACAAGTAAACCTAGACTAATAAACCTATTTTACGAATAAACCTATATTAATGTAGACTAATAAACCTATTTTACGAATAAACCTATATTATTGTAGACTAGTAAACCTATTTTACGAGTAAACCTATATTATTGTAGACTAATAAACTTATTTTACGAATAAACCTATATATATTATTGTAGACTAATAAACCTATTTTAGTCCACGTGATTCTCTTATTTCTTGGGGCTCAACATTTAACAATTTTGAGGTAAATATTTTTACTCAGAAAAGATATTAATGGAAAAATTTCTGATCAGAAATTTTAAAAGTAAGACGTTATGAATGGAATGTTTTTTTTTCGCAATTTAAAATACACTAGCTGAAGGGCCCGGTGTTGCCCGTGGAACAGCAAAAAAATGTTTTAAAATTTTTTTAATTGTATTTAACCTGTATCACCCCCAGGCTACATATGAGTGTCTACAAAAAAATGTCCGCTCATTCGAATCAGCCGTTTGGAGGGCTTTAGGAATTAACATATATATGAATGTCTTGTTTTATTATATATATATTTTCTGAAAATGAATATAATGTTACACGAACAAATTTTCTAAAATTACAACATTACTTATAAATTATTTAAATGGATAATTTTGAAGTAATCATAATTTTAGATTTGGTTTTAAAAAATGAATTTAGCTTTTTTTGATAAGATTGTTTTAGGGAATGGTGAACTGGGCGTTTTTGTTGCTCGTGATGGGCGGTCTCAGGTCTTAAATTCAATTATTAGAAATAAATTTAGTTGTTTAAAGGGGGCGGGCTATTGCAGAAGAAAATTTTCAACAACTTTTTAAGGAGAAAACACTACCACACCCGACGTTAACCAGGCCCGCCCCCAGGGGGGGCAAGAGGACTACTGACCCCCACCCCCCGTATATGTACCAGGGCTACAGGAGCCTCGTCCCCCCCTCTCCCATGACATGGATTCCAGGGGGTTTCAGGCCCAAAAAATAGAAGTCCGCTCCTCCTTGACAACTCTTTGTATACGCTCTTAGAAATGTGTTAAATTTTTTTCCTGATTACCATGTTCCGCACCTTCGTTTTTAATCGTTGTCATTTTTGTATTTTGTTACAAACAGTTCTTATAACATTTTTTCTACAATTAGGTTACCCCTGTACTATGTCATATTGTAGAAACAAGTATAAATCGTTAATCTGGTGTAGTTAGATCGTTAATATGGTATTGTTAGCTTGTTAATCTGGTAAAGTTAGTTCGCTAATCTGGTAAAGTTAGTTCGTTAATCTGGTGGAGTTAGTTCGCTAATCTTTTTGTTGACTGTTAAGGCTATGTTTGGAGAACTTGAATAAGTATGGAGTACGAGTGAACCCAAATTCGATAATCACAGCATTTTTAAAGTAAGTTAAAGAAAGTAAGTCTTTGAAAGAAAAGGGTCTACAGCCAGAAATTGACAAACATTTTTTTCGTTTAAAGTAAAATTCAATATATGGTTTCGATAGTGTTATAAAGTTAGTAATATAATTATCATTTATCACTAATTACTTCATTTATTTCATTATTTTACACTGGAAAGGATCGTTCACGAAAAATATAGGATGAACCGCAATTAAATTGTAAATCAGTTTGTTATTATTTTCTATGCCATTTTTTCTTTGAAGTGACCATACACAGAGTAAACAAGAAACCATCTTTAGGGTCTTTAGAAAAAAGGCTCATTTTTAAAGTCTCTCAACAGAAATAGTTGATTGAAATAAATATATAACAAATATCGTAGAATTTATATTATTGTTGATATTATAAACCTATTAAAATTTTGAGTGCTCTCCCTTTAAAAGGACTGTAAGCGTAATTTCAATTGACCTTCTTCCATGCAAAGATGGCAATGCCCGATTTTCAGCAATATCTAAAAAGCTTTATCTGATCACAAATGGATTAGAACTCTGTTTATTTTGATTTGTGGCAAAAAATACTTGCATTTCTTGCTTATAATAAAATCTAGAGAAATTATCAGAAATAAATGGTTTCTAAGTCGGAAAAACGACTTTATCTTCCACATTTTCGATCAGATTATAATTTCAAGGGTACCGTTGTAATCAGGCATCATCTTTGCATGGAGGGTCAATTGAAATTACGCGTACAGTCCCTTTAATAGTCACGTAACTGACGAGAACGCGAGCTTTATCTCCTTCTACCTCCTCCTCTACACTAATGTACCAATACTTCTCATCCTTCTTGTAGAGAAACTTATCGTCAAGGTAATTAAATTTTTTTTTGGTCTTTCTCTTACAAAGTAGAAAAAAACGTTAATCTTTAAATAATTTTTTAAAAATAAGCAACAACATAAGAAATGTATTTAAAATTGATTTAATTTACAGATTGATTGAGTTATTAAGAAATTGATGCACTGATTGATTGATTGGCTAAATAATGGACGGGTTGACTGATTGATTGGTTGTTAATTAATTTAATAACTGATTAGATGTTGATGAACTGGTCGACTATTTGACTGCTATATTGATTAACTGATTTCTTGAAAGATTTATTAATCAAATGATTGATGACAGGTTGATTACTTGATTAATTAGTTGCTTTAATCAATGGTTGGATGGGTGTAGTAATTGATAGAAGGATTTATTGAAAATTTGATTTGGTTATTTGATTTACTGATTGACCAATTGATTTAATGATAGATTGATGGATTGGCTTATTTATTCATAAGTTAAGTTAAGTTAAGTAATTGATTGATTGATTGATTGATCGATTGATTGATTGATTGATTGATTGATTGATTGGTTAAATTAGGATATCATAACCTGGCGAATGGGATGTTTTGTGCACATGACCAATCTGCTCTTGATGCTGCTCATTCCAATCCTTGTAATTAACGTTAGGTAGGAAATATATTATCATTATTATCATAATTTTTATTATTATTGTTATTAGTGTTATTATTATAATCAGATTATTTCATTCTTCTATTAGTAATGAGCAATTTATCTTTTGGAATTTCTGACAAGGACTGGGTTTCAAGTCAAACCATAATTTGAGATTCAATAACTACTGTTCCATTCATCTACTCTACTCATAACAAACGTTTATTCTTCTTCTTAACCTTAACAACTTTTCTACTTTTTTACAATTGTCACAATGACAGTTCTACTCTTCTATTCTTCCCTGGAATGACTCTGCTCATAACAATCCTTCTACTTCTTTACTCTGCTCATAACAACCCTTCTACTTCTTTACTCTGCTCATAACACTCCTTCTACTTCTTTACTCTGCTCATAACAACCCTTCTACTTCTTTACTCTGCTCATAACAACCCTTCTTCCTCTTTACTCTGCTCATAACAACCGTTCTTCTTCTAAACTCTGCTCATAACAACCATTCTTCTTATTTACTCTGCTCATAACAATCCTTCTACTTCTTTACTTTGCTCATAACTTCTTGACTCTGCTCATAACAACCCTTCTTCTTCTTTACACTTCTCATAACAACTGTTCTACTTCTTTACTCTTCTCATAACAACTGTTCTACTTCTTTACTCTGCTCATAACAACTGTTCTACTTCTTTACACTTCTCATAACAACTGTTCTACTTCTTTACTCTGCTCATAACAACCGTTCTTCTTCTTTACTCTGCTCATAACAACTGTTCTACTTCTTTACTCTGCTCATAACAACCGTTCTTCTTATTTACTCTGCTCATAACAACCCTTCTACTTCTTTACTCTGCTCATAACAGCCGTTCTTCTTCTTTACTCTGCTCATAACAACCCTTCTACTTCTTTACTCTGCTCATAAAAACTTTTCTTCTCATTTACTCTGCTCATAACAACCTTTCTTCCTCTTTACTCTGCTCATAACAACCGTTCTTCTTACTTCTTTACTTTGCTCATAAAAACTTTTCTTCTCATTTACTCTGCTCATAACAACCTTTCTTCCTCTTTACTCTGCTCATAACAACCGTTCTTCTTCTTTACTCTGCTCATAACAACCGTTCTTCTTATTTACTATGCTCATAACAACCTTTCTTCTTCTTTACTCTGCTCATAACAACCGTTCTTCTTATTATACTCTGCTTATAACAACTTTTCTTCTTCTTTGCTCGGCTCATAACAACCTTTATTCTTCTTTACTCTGCTCATAACAACATTTCTTCTTCTTTACTCTGCTCATAACAACCTTTCTTCTTCTTTACTCTGCTCATAACGATCATTCTACTGTTAGATCTGAAGATATTGGTGTATTGGCTGCTACTGTAACAACAGCTGTTTATTCTATTCTCTTCTTGAAGATGTGGTCTTACATTCAAGGTTTATTTTTAAAGATATTTTTTTAATCTTTTTAAAAAAAATAAGGGATTTCGCGAAGAGATGCATTTTTATCAGTATAATCGAGATTTTTTATTCTTTTTCTATGAAATCATAATTTATGAGTTTACAATTGCAGCTCTTAAATCAGTGAATTGAATACCCAGGGGCTATTGATTAATTGATACTCCCACTGATTAATAAGCACTCACCTATTAATCAATAAATACTCTATACCAATTAGATTCTAGTTTAATAGATGGCAACGTAGAATTTGTACACTCTCAGTACAACTGTATTCTGACGTCACAAGTGCCAATTCAGTTTTTGTGTCCGACAAAATTATTAATAATAGTAATAATTTTAGAATAAAGTACTTATCTTACAGTAAGATAAGTACAAGTTTATGTGTTCTTTAGTTTCTGTTTTTACACTTTTTTATTTAATCTTGGAAAAAATGTAGACTATTTGAGAACTGTATACCTACTCATCAAAGAATACTGTATACCTATAGATCAATGAATACTCTATACCTACTTATCAATGAATACTCTATACCTACTCATCAATGAATACTCTATACCTACTTATCAATGAATACTCTATACCTACTCATCAATGAATACTCTATACCTACTGATCAATGAATACTCTATACCTATAGATCAATGAATACTCTATACCTACTGGTCAATGAATATACTATACCTACTGATCAATGAATACTCTATACCTACTGATCAATGAATACTCTATACCTACTCTTCAATGAATACTCTATACCTATAGATCAATGAATACTCTATACTTACTTATTAATGAATACTCTATACCTACTCATCAATAAATACTCTATACGTAATGATCAATGAATAGTCTATACCTACTTATCAATGAATAATGAATACACTATACCTACCGATCAATGAATACGCTATACCTATTGATCAATGAATACGCTATACCTACTGATCAAATAATACTCTATACCTTCTTATCAATAAATAACCTACTGATCAATGAATGCACTATACCTACTGATCAATGAATACTCTAAAACATCTTCCTATTTAGTAAATCATTGGTGTAGATGTAGTATAACTATTTTGGGACAAAAAAGAGCAAGACACACATCTATTTACAGGTAAAAAATATTTAGATTTTAAAAAATATATATTTTGCATAATATTATTTCCATTTTCTTAACAAATAAAATATTAAACATCCTTTTAAATTACATTTAGAGGGGGGGGGGGGGTTTGGGTATTCGGTACCAGAACTAACGTCGGACCAACAAACGTCGGACGGTACAAACCAAAGACTTACAAACGTCGGACAGTACAAACGTCGGACCAGGACAAACGTCGGACTAGTACAAACGTCGGACTGGTACAAACGTCGGACTAAGAAAAAATATTATTTGAATTATAAATTTTTTTTTATAAAGTTATTTCCTTTTATCGACTAGTCTAATTAAAAACTACCCAAAGGAATCGAGTTCTTGCCACCAAATAAAATATTCTCATCCCTATATCTTTGCAACCTGTTAGTGGTATTAACATTTAATACTTTCAAACTTAAACTGTATGATTTTATAGATTTCATAGGTAAAATGATAAAGGTTATACGACGTTGGGTTGCAAAGGTCATAGGCATTTTGAAGCATCAGAGTTTGTGACCATTGTACTCAAATCCTTTCTGGTCTGTTGTTTTATACAGTGCTACCTTCAAAGGATGAGACTTTATTCAGTCGTCTTTGATTTTTATCACAATTAGTGAGTGATTTTTAATTTAGTTCTTATAGCATGGGTCTTTTCTTTCAAACTCAACCAAAGTCCGACGTTTTTCCTTATAAATGTACCCGTCCGACGTTTGTACTTGTCCGACGTTTGTACTTGTCCGACGTTTGTGCCAGTCCGACGTTTTGATTCTAGAGTGGACTTTGTAGTTTTAAAAATAATAAAAATTGGGTTAAATGTCTTTTTTTTCACTTTAAAATAATTAGATCATCAAATATAAGATTACAATCTTAAATTACAAAATTTTTTTATACATTGGACACGCTTCAATAATTATGGATATAAACCTGTACATGTACATAGTATATGTCTCTATATTTAGACAAACTTCCATAATTATGGATAAAAACCAGTACATGAAAAATGTACAGTCTCTATATTTAGACAAGCTTCCGTAATTATGGATAAACACCTGTACATGAACAATGTACATGTCTCTATATTTAGACAAGCTTCCATAATTATGGATAAACACCTGTACATGAACAATGTACATGTCTTTATATTTAGACAAGCTTCCATAATTATGGCTATAAACCTGTACATGAACAATGTACTTTTCTCTATATTTTAACAAGCTTCCATAATTATGGATAAGCACCTGCACAAGAACAATGTTTGTCTCTATATTTAGACAAGCTTCCATAATTATGGATACACACCTGTACATGAACAATGTACAATGTACATGTCTCTATATTTAGACANTATTAAACACCTGTACATGAACAATGTACAATGTACATGTCTCTATATTTAGACAAGCTTCCATAATTATGGATAAAAACCTGTACAAAGCGTCTTCACCAAAATCTCTTGCTGATGAGAAAGAAGCCATAAAGGTAAAAAGAATAACAAGAGAAAATTTGTAATTTTTATTGAGTTTCAAAGATGCATTTTTTCAGACAATGTGATCAAAATTTGGAAAGCCTATCAAGCCTAATAGTATAAAAGCGTGTTCCATTTATTAAATACATTTTGTACCTTTCTATGATTTGCATAGTTTGAATTTTAGAATTCTTTAAAAATTCAGAACGCTGGGTAAATTTTGAATCTCTGGTCAATGACCTCCATCTTTATATCCTCCAAGAAACCCAGAAATGGGAGGATTCAGACCTATAGTGCATCGCATTTTGAAATTAACCACGTTTTTTTTTTGGGGGGGGGGAGGGGATACACTGATACACACATGTTTTCTGCTATGCTTGTAGTAAATCCTTACTCCAACAAATACGTTTAGATCAGTACCAATCCAGGTATAACCTTCCGTATCCTTAGGTATCTGTCTTACAAGATACAACTTGATCAAGAAATCCAAGTTTCTCACTAATACTTTAGTCAATGTCAAACCGGATACAACTCTATCTGTATTCACATGTATCTGTCTTACAAGATACAACTTGTAATTCTCTATCTATATCTATCTTTCAAGAAAGTGATTCAGGATCCTTCTTGTATGGTAAACGAGGAACAATTAATCTAATACCGTAATCAAAGCAGAGTATTATTCCAACTGATGTATATTTTAAGTTATAGGGTACAGGTTACATTAATGAACGTAATAACAAGTTTTACGTAGTTATTTTTAAGCGTTGTTAGGTTTAATCACAATACAGGGTTGACGTAATTATTTACAATTGTAGTTAGGTTACAATTTATAAGGTAATATATCAAGATGCGTTCAGGTTTATAAATATGGGATTTTGCTATGATATTTATTACATGCTTACTCTTCTACTTCAAAGAACAAAAATGGTTAAACATTGACATATTATTTATTTTGGACTTTGTATGTCGTTACTGTTTAAAAAAAATTATTTTTAGGAAAAAGGTAACACAGATTCAATAGGATTAAAACCAGTTACTTGGCCAGATAATCTTTCTCTTCGGTAGGAATATATTCATTATCATCATTATCATCATTATCATCATTATCATCATTATCATCATTATCATCATTATCATCATTATCATCATTATCATCATTATCATCATTATCGTCATTCATCATTAACATCACTATCATCACTATCATCACCATCATCACCATCATCACCATCATCACCATCATCACCATCATCACCATCCTAATCATCCTAATCATCCTAATCATCCTAATCATCCTAATCATCCTAATCATCCTAATCATCCTAATCATCCTAATCATCCTAATCATCCTAATCATCCTAATCATCCTAATCATCCTAATCATCCTAATCATCCTAATCATCCTAATCATCCTAATCATCCTAATCATCCTAATCATCCTAATCATCCTAATCATCCTAATCATCCTAATCATCCTAATCATCCTAATCATCCTAATCATCCTAATCATCCTAATCATCCTAATCATCCTAATCATCCTAATCATCCTAATCATCCTAATCATCCTAATCATCCTAATCATCCTAATCATCCTAATCATCCTAATCATCCTAATCATCCTAATCATCCTAATCATCCTAATCATCCTAATCATCCTAATCATCCTAATCATCCTAATCATCCTAATCATCCTAATCATCCTAATCATCCTAATCATCCTAATCATCCTAATCATCCTAATCATCCTAATCATCCTAATCATCCTAATCATCCTAATCATCCTAATCATCCTAATCATCCTAATCATCCTAATCATCCTAATCATCCTAATCATCCTAATCATCCTAATCATCCTAATCATCCTAATCATCCTAATCATCCTAATCATCCTAATCATCCTAATCATCCTAATCATCCTAATCATCCTAATCATCCTAATCATCCTAATCATCCTAATCATCCTAATCATCCTAATCATCCTAATCATCCTAATCATCCTAATCATCCTAATCATCCTAATCATCCTAATCATCCTAATCATTCTAATCATCATTGTGATTTTTCAGGGATATTTACTATTTCTGGTTTGCTCCGACATTATGCTATGAACTAAACTTCCCAAGGGCATCAAGGTATAAAGACGACATGATCTACTAGTTTATCTCCTTCCTTAAGATTAATATAGCCACAATATGAATCCTTTTTGAAGCTGTTTACTTATAGCGTTATTCCCAAAAATATGCTAACCAAACTCCGGAAGTGTAAACTAAACGTTCCACGATTCAACGTAAAAAAAAGTTGAAATTAAATAATATTTTTATTGCATTTCAGAATCAGAAAACTTTTCCTCCTGAGGCGAGGACTTGAGGTTGTTATTGGTAAGAATTAAACAATAAAAAAATCTTTTTTACATATTCTATAAAGCTTCATGGCAGTTTAGCTAAATTTTCTTCTTTAAACTTGAATGTTAATCATCTTTTTTTACTTGGAACTTTCTTGAAATTTTCTTAGAAACATTTTAAATTAAAAACTTTTTAAGTGTGGATTGTGTAATGTTTGGAACTCCGCGTTACAAAGTTAAAAATTGTAGAGAGGGAGTGGAAGGGGGGGGGGAGTTAATATTGTTTTGCACTGAAAATTGGAACCAAAACAATTTAACAATTTCTGAAGAAAAATAAATAAAATTATGCTTTTAGTGTCGTCAGTGTTAATAAAATATGCGACCTCTGGTTGTTTGAAACTATTTCTGTACTTGTTACGTACTTTTACGTACATTTTATGTACATGCACTAATGTACTTTTTTTCTCTTTATGTAATCGAACTTTATGAATTTGTATGTACTCTTTATGAACTCTTTAATCTCTATGTATTCTTTAATTACTTTTGGTGTTCTCTTTATGTACTCTTTATGTACTCTTTATGTACTCTATTAGGACGATATTTTGATTCTTAAAAATTCACTTTTGTTTGGAACAAATAGATAAAAAACATTATTTAATAAACTCTTAAAAGATATGTATTTTAGCTCGCTATTCCAAATCATCTACTCTGGCTCATTTGGTTTTATTTGCTCTTCCACTCATTCTTAAATTCTATTGGAGAAATTCTTCAATTTGCTGACAGGTTAGTTCTTGAGTTTAACGTCAGGTTAGTTCTTGATTTTACTGACAGGCTAGTTCTTGAGTTTACGGAAAGGTTAGAACCTGAGTTTGTTGACAGTTAGTTATTGAGTTCATTGGCAGGCTAGTTCTTGAGTTTGCTGTCAGGTTACTTCTTCATTTTACTGACAGGCTAGTTCTTGAGTTTACTGAAAGGTTAGAACCTTAGTTTTCTGACAGGTTAGTTCTTGAGTTTGCTGACAGATTAGTTCTTGATATTACTGAAAGGCTTTGTTCTTGAGTTTGCTGATAGGTTAGTTCTTGAGTTTACTGACAAGTTAGTTCTTGATTTTACAAATAGGTTAGTTCTTGAGTTTACAGACAGGTTAGTTCTTGATTTTACTGACAGATTAGTTTTTGAGTTTACTGAAAGGTTAGATCCTAAGTTTGCGGACAGGTTAGTTTTTGAGTTTGCTGACAGGTTAGTTCTTGAGTTTGCCGACAGGTTAGTTCTTGAGTTTGCTGACAGGTTAGTTCTTGAGTTTGCTGACAAGCTAGTTCTTGAGTTTGCTGACAGGTTAGTTCTTAAGTTTAATGTCAGGTTAGTTCTTGATTTTACTGACAGACTAGTTAGTTTTTGAGTTTGCTGACAGGTTGTTTCTTGAGTTTGCTGACAGAATAGTTTTTGAGTTAAATGAAAGGTTAGTTCTTAATTTTACTGACAGGTTAGTTCCTGATTTTACAAATAGGTTAGTTATTGAGTTTGCTTAAAGGTAAGTTCTTGAGTTTGCTGAAAGGTAAGTTCTTGAGTTTGCTGACAGGTATGTTTTGAGATTTTACTGACAGGCTTGAGTTTACTGACAGGTTAGTTCTTGAGTTTCAAAATATGGACAAGTTGAAAGTGAAGTAGTATGAAAAAGTTTCAAATATTTATAAAATCTTATCTATGTGAGGGAGGGGTCATGGATCGGTGGCCATCATCTGATCTAGTTTTATAAGTTAGTACAAGTATAGTCTACTACTGTACATGAAGTAGAAAATTCTAATTGAGTTTTAGTATGTGGAGGAGGAACACTTCCTAACAATCTAATTTGATTTGATTTCACCTTTCTTTTGTCCCAAAACTTTTGATTTTCTAAACCAAGTTAATTTATTAAACCTATTCCCACCTTATATTTTCAAATTTAAAGGGATCTAGACAAAATTTGAAGCGACCCTCGAAATAAATTTTAGATTTATTTACCCTTTAAATCGTTTTCTGAGTTAAAAATGAAGGAGTTATTTTGTCCAAATTCAATATAGTTTCAAAATGATTAAAATGTGATGTGATGTAAATCGGATGTTCCATTTTTTAAAGGCGAGTCACTTGAAATTATTCACTGAAAATGTTCTCTTTAGTTGCTTTAATTCGGATTTTTTTTCAGGGATTTCTACCATGATTGGTGGAACGCAAATAATATTGCGAAATTTTGGAGTACCTGGAATTTGCCAGTACACAGGTAATCTTGACCATGACCTTGACCTGAAAGCCAGCTGCAGAAAAATGCTGGTTAACTCATTAAATCTAACTTTTGATGTTCACTGTATCGAATTGATACAAACGTGTTTTACGGAATTGAACAATTTTTTGCCATTTTTGGCTCGTGGTAATGCAGAAATGCTGCTTTTGATTTTTGTTTAGGCATGATTTTTTTGTGGGGTTAAGGTAATCAAAGATGATTAACAAACAACAACAAAGATGATTAACAAACAACAACAAAGATGATTAACAAACGACAACAAAGATGATTAACAAACAAAGAGAATCAAAAACCATTTCATTTACTAAACATTAAACAATGTCAAAATTGTTAATTGCATTTGAGCAAAAAAATTGTTTGCATCATTTTTTATTTATGACATGGTTTGATGTCAAAAACATTTTTGATGCAGAGTTTTGAATAAGTTATGTTGCTGCTCTGCATAATAAAAGCATAATATTTTAACAAAAACTTCTTTATTTACTCATATAAGATTTTATACAGGGTGTCCCACATCATATTAGATCGTCAATGGGTCTGAATTACGTTTTTCAGGACTAATCAGAAAATTTAAGAACAATCATTTTGAATAAGGCTAATACTTGCGAAAAAAGCTAGTTTATTCGAGTATTGTATTTATTTGAGAACTAAAGCTTGAAAAAATAATCTAATATGATATGGGACGCTCTGTATGTTTTTACATATTTGACAGAGAATTTCTCAAGTGCAGCATTATTAGTTAAAAAACTGTCACTTTTTAAAAGCATTACAAAAAAATCTATCCTCTTTATCCTCTTTTTGTTTACATTGGCTTAGTTTAATAATATTAAACTTAACCCTTCAATCCAAAAGTGCACTCTACACTCAAACTTTAAATTTAGAAGTAGATCAAACTTTTTGGTACACTTTTTTTCTTAAAGGGACTGTCAACGTTTTTTCAATTGACACTACATTTTACATTTAGCAAGAAGCATATCCCTTTAAACCTTTTTTTTCTAAGCAAAAGTTATAAACATCTTCCAGTTTTTTTTCCCTCTGAAAATTGATAATTTTGAATTGCGGGTTCTCTATAAAAGTTACTTGCTGATTTATACAGCAGAAAAAGTATGAAATTGTCCGAATTCTCTCTTTTTGGAGGCAAAACTTAAAAAAGATATATTTGACTAGGACTGAATGTGAGTGTAGCAGTAGTACAACAATATATAATACCAAGTGTGGTCAACTCCCTGGTACCATTTGCTGCTATGGACTTGACCTTGGCTACAGAGAGATTGTTAAAGGTAAATGATAAACATTAACGTTGGAAAATTATCGGCTCTAAAAATAATAAACTGGATGGGGGGGNCACTTGAAATTATTCACTGAAAATGTTCTCTTTAGTTGCTTTAATTCGGATTTTTTTTCAGGGATTTCTACCATGATTGGTGGAACGCAAATAATATTGCGAAATTTTGGAGTACCTGGAATTTGCCAGTACACAGGTAATCTTGACCATGACCTTGACCTGAAAGCCAGCTGCAGAAAAATGCTGGTTAACTCATTAAATCTAACTTTTGATGTTCACTGTATCGAATTGATACAAACGTGTTTTACGGAATTGAACAATTTTTTGCCATTTTTGGCTCGTGGTAATGCAGAAATGCTGCTTTTGATTTTTGTTTAGGCATGATTTTTTTGTGGGGTTAAGGTAATCAAAGATGATTAACAAACAACAACAAAGATGATTAACAAACGACAACAAAGATGATTAACAAACAAAGAGAATCAAAAACCATTTCATTTACTAAACATTAAACAATGTCAAAATTGTTAATTGCATTTGAGCAAAAAAATTGTTTGCATCATTTTTTATTTATGACATGGTTTGATGTCAAAAACATTTTTGATGCAGAGTTTTGAATAAGTTATGTTGCTGCTCTGCATAATAAAAGCATAATATTTTAACAAAAACTTCTTTATTTACTCATATAAGATTTTATACAGGGTGTCCCACATCATATTAGATCGTCAATGGGTCTGAATTACGTTTTTCAGGACTAATCAGAAAATTTAAGAACAATCATTTTGAATAAGGCTAATACTTGCGAAAAAAGCTAGTTTATTCGAGTATTGTATTTATTTGAGAACTAAAGCTTGAAAAGATAATCTAATATGATATGGGACGCTCTGTATGTTTTTACATATTTGACAGAGAATTTCTCAAGTGCAGCATTATTAGTTAAAAAACTGTCACTTTTTAAAAGCATTACAAAAAAATGTTTTTAATGTTTGTAATTCTGAAAATTGAGAATTGAAAGAAAATATAAAATATAACTGAACTGAATTTGTATTTATTCAATAAGGGGGGGGGGGTTCATCCCAATATTTCAGCGTAAGCTGCCTCTTTGTGTGAAGTTAATGCCTAAATTAACTTAAATTTTAAATTTTTTTTTACATTTCTTTTTTAGATGGTGTGTGCGACATCTTTATAAACCTCTTCTTCATGCCGGCTGCTCAAAGGAATTTATATTCAGAAATAATTTGATTATTTGTCAGATTTTTTAGTCATACAAGCCACAGGAGCCATTATTGGATTAAAATTACACCATCAACAAACTGCTCTATAAAAATTTACCTGACTTATATAAAAATCAAAGACGACTGGGATGCTGGTCGTATTCTTCACCTCGGCATTCTTCCACGAGTACCTTATTTCCGTTCCTCTCAGGGTATTCAAGATCTGGGCTTTCCTAGGTTGGATTCACAAACTTCTGGAATTATTTTCATTTTAAGATTTATCACATCTTTTTATTTTTGTTTATATGTTAAATTGGGTTGAATTAAGATATCTTGAAAAAACAGTGGAACTTGCCAATTGATATTTTTTTTTTTAAATTGTACTTCTAATGTTTTTAATCCAAAAATAAGAAACGACGATAATCAAGTTGTATGGTCAGCAAAATTGTGATGAAAATTGGGGGGGGGGGGGATATTTTTCCTGATTCCCAACATTGACTTGAGTAAACCAAGGGTTGCTTGTTATATATAATAATATTTTGTTAAGGTATGATGGTTCAGGCCCCACTGTTTCCTTTTACAAGGTACACTTTGAACTTTGATGTGTAAATTTATTCCTATGTCGCCTTAACTTATATTTATCTCTCTCGGTGACTCGCCTGTTTATTTTTATCTCTCTATTCATTCATCTCTTTGACTCCTTTATGATATGCATATTTAACACTAGATCTCTACTCCTCTGTATCTATATACTTATCTCTATGACTACTCTATATACTTATCTCTTTGACTACTCTAAATACTTATCTCTATGACTACTCTATATACTTATCTCTATGACTACTCCAGGTTTATACAGAAAAGGGTTGGACCAAGAATGGGAAATATAATGGTCTGGGTTTCATTAATCCTTGGTAAGATTCATCTACATTTTCAGGGTCTCTTAGCCCCCCCCCCCATCCCCCTAACTGCTTTAACTCTCTTTTAAACATTTTGTTCAGAAAGTTTACGTTTTTTCCCAAATGGGGAAATAAATATAAATGAGATTTTGAGAAGGGAGGCATTTATAAAAAGCTTTCTTTGTTTTAACCCTAAATCTTGAAGAAAAAATCCCCCCCCCCACTGCACCCCCATTACAAAAAATCTAAAAATATCCCCAAGAAATGTTTTATACAATTAATTCACTTTAGAAATCTTAAATATCATCATGATGATAATTTTCTAATTTCATCGCTGACATTTAATAGTTTCACTTGAATTATCGTTTAAAGATTAAAGATTATTTAAACCTATTTTTCTATAGTAAAAATTGAGTATGCAATCCAATTTTTTTAAAAATTATTTCAAGGAGTATTTCATTCACAACGATACCCTTTATGTGTATCTTTATCTGTACGAATGCGAAAATTTCGCGAAAACATTTTTGCGAAATGCGAAAATTTCTTGAAAATATTTTCGGAAAAAAGTGTTATTACTGCAACAATTATTTGCTCAAATAAACTAGTGGAACTCTCTGCTCTGATAGCTCAATATTTGAGGTTTTATTATGTCGTAAATTTCTCTTACTTTACTTTAATAAATGTTTGATAAAGAGAATTTGATTTTTCTAGCTTTATTTTTAAGTTTCTGCCCATCCAGATACTTCACCCATGACTCTGAGCCTGCCAATTAAAAATCGCATATTTTTTCGCATAATTCTACTTTTTTTTTGCGAAATGCTTCCTTTCTTTTGCAAAATTTTTGCACTATTTTTTCGCTTTTTTTTTTGCAAAATTATGTACAATTTTTATTCAATTTTCTTCAATATCTGGAACATTTTGAATGTACAGGGTGTCCTGGAAAACTTGAATTTATAAAGAATTTGAAGACAATTATCAATATTGATGTCATCTTTAAATTACCATGGTTATCAAAACATTTTTAAATATCAGAATCTCGTGAAAAAAACAACCAATTTGAATTACTTTAGGTCAACCTTTGGCTGTTATGATGTACTATCATGATTTCGTGGTGGAACATTTTGGTCGAGATCTAATCACAGCTTACGGAGAAATCAATTCTTTTAATACATCCCAGCCCATCATTATATAATCCTTCACTTGTATCCAATTATTTATAATCATTCAATTGTATTCTATTATTTATAATCCTTCAATTGTATCCAATCATTATATAATCCTTCAATTGTATCCAATCATTATATAATCCTTTAATTGTATCCTGTCATTATATAATCCTTCAATTTTATCCAATCATTATATAATCCTTCAATTGAATTCAATCATTAAATAATCCTTCACAGAGAGATACAATCCTTTAATCTCAGCATTTTAATTCTTTTATGCACAATAAGACCCATAAAACTGTGGAAAAGAGAGTCGACTTAAAGGGACAGTAAAGGAAAAATGAAAGGGGGTATAGGCTGAAAGCTAATCACTTTAGCTCTTGATCGCGACCCATGAAAGTTTTATCTGATGTTCCTGTCTCGAGAAATTGATATAAAACTGTTAAAATTATACGAAAATTCATATATGTAAAATTTTGAAAATCTGAAACTTAAATTACAGTTGTATATCAATTTCTCGAGACAGGAACATCAGATATGACTTTCATGGGTCGAGATCAAGAGCTAAAGTGATTAACTTTCAGCCTATACCCCCTTTCATTTTTCCTTTACTGTCCCTTTAAGAATCTTTTATGAGTTTAAATAGTCTAATTAAAATGAAAAACGGCAATTGTGCGGAACAAGCCATTTTACCTATTCAGTTGAATTCAGCTTTTGGTAAAAGTGATTATTTTATCTAAATTATAAATTTATTAAATGTCGTCTTTATATTCAGCTGTTTAACGATATGTCAATTCTTCTCTTTCCATCTCATGTCATTGTTTAATTCAGATTAGGTTATTTGAAAGAAGCATATTTTAAAAATATTTTATCTGTTTATAGAATTTAATTAACTTGCTAATAGTAGATTTGAAATAAGCATATTTTAAAAATATTTTATCTGTTTAAAGAATTTAATTAACTTAATAATAGTAGATTTGAAATTTAGTTTAATTTATAAGTTTTAGACGGTTTGTATATTTTAAATAAAACCTAGTAAAGATTGTATGCTTTATATTTGAATTTTGTATAATGTTTGATAAATATAAAATTTATAAACTAGTGCACTTTTTTTTAAGGTGTTCAGTGTGCCCCCCCTCTCAACATGATCATGTTAATCAAAAGTATGTTTTGAAATGTCATCTTTAGATATTAAGTGGTATCCATTTTTAAATTATATTTTAGTATTAGTATTTTATTTAGAATTTTATGTTCTGGATCCTCATAATCCCGATCACTTGAGATATCCACTGTGAGCACTTTTGAGGATCAATACATAATCTCTTCATTGCAGTTATTCCTGCAGGGAAGAATTACTATCTTAGATATAGAATACATATTAAATTAATCTGCAGACTAGAACAAGATCCCGAATCTTTATTGTATCCCTTTATTATACAATCCTTATTGTATTCCTTTATCCTGTATTCCTTCACAGAGATACAATCCCTTAATTGCATGCCTTTATCATACAATCTTAGCTTATTGTATCCCATTATTATATAATCCTTTACAGAGATACAATCCTTAAATTGCAACCCTTTATCATACAATCCAAGCTTATCGTATCCCATTATCATATAATCCTTCACAGAGATGCAATCCTTAAATTGCAACCCTTTTATCATACAATCCTAGTTTATTGTATCCCATTATTATATAATCCTTCAGAGATACAATCCTTAAATTGCAACCCTTTATCATACAATACAAGCTTATCGTATCCCATTATCATATAATCCTTCACAGAGATACAATCCTTAAATTGCAACCCTATATCATACAATCCTAGTTTATTGTATCCCATTATTATATAATCCTTCACAGAGATACAATCCTTAAATTGCAACTCTTTATTATTCAATCCTTATTTTATCCCTTTTAAAATACAATCCTCCAGAGACACAATATTTAGTGTATCCCTAAACTGTATTATTTTATCTTATAACCCCTATTATTGTTCAAACCATATTGGCAAGGATTCAAGAAGTATGTTTACCAGACAGCTTGATGTATGCCTTTACATTGTAAACCAAGTTGTAAAGCAAAATTAAAAAATGACAGAGTCTCTGTTATAGGACCAAAGATTATGGATCTCAAACGTAAATCAAAACCAAAAAAATCCTCAGAAGTCTTTTAAGAGGCTAAAACAGACTGGTGGATTAAGTTTGAGACTATTCTGAAAACTTTCTTGCTGCGACGAACGAAACTGATTTACTTTCGGGAGAACGCTCCTTACATTACAACAAAGATCTGAAAAATAATCCAGTATAGACAGTGAACTTATAAAATAAAAATTACAGGGCTAAGACATCTAGAAGTGCCTCTAAGCATTTTTTTTTGCAAAACTTATAAAACACACCGCATAATCCGTCAATATTCGTTGTCAAATTTATCGGAGACATAACTTCAAGTCACTTTTTAATTATACAGGGTTACCCACAAAGGATGAGACTTCAAAGACGATTGTAAGAAAGTTTTGCTGCCTGTTTCCTAATATACATGATTCCCTGCAACTGTTAAACTTTTTTCTCTCTTAACTAAATCAAAAGAAAGACTGTATTCAAGGAAGACGACTTGATTTAACTTTGGGATCGTCATATTTTAAGACTTTTAGGTGGTCTTTACAGTGTCATCCTTTGTGGGTAACCCTATATGTCAGATTCAGACCGTTGTCTATTCACTAATGTCCATAATGCGGTTCCAAATAGAGCAGAAAACTTCATTAAAAAATTGATAATTAAGTCGTTTTTCACCATCTAAATATTTTGCCAATACTAGCCAAAACGTGGTCTGCCTTTCTTGTGCTTTTAATTACTACCAGAGCAAAGATTAAGATTGTTGTTAAAAAATTAAATAAAATCATGAAATTGTGAAATAAAACATATCATTCATATCTCCAGTTTTTATGTAAGCACAAAAAAGGCAGACCACATTTTGAAAATGCAAGGACTAGGGCTATTTTATTACTATTTTTCATGAAAGAATGTTGCTAAAATTAGGTTGCCAAATTAATTCTGCAATTTTCATCTAGGGTCACGATCTACTTCATACCATTTATTAAGTATTGTCTAGCCAAAAGTTTCTGAAAACTGGAAATTGATGAAGAAAAAAGTTCAATTTATCTATAATCTATATATTTGTTAAGTTAACTCGAAAAATATCATATTAATATAACATGAAAACATCAAAAATTAAAAAAGAAAAATATCCAATTATGAAATAAGTGAAATAAGAAGGTTTCTTAGCTGCTATTCCACCAAAACTCACCTAAACAAATATTTATGTCAAACATTTAATAATGTAAAGATCTAAACCTTAGTTTTAAAAAATTAATTTCGTAATTTTGAGATTGAAACCTTATTCTTTATCCAAGAAACGCGATTATTTTCAATATTTTCAAAATTTCCATTAAAAAAGCGGAATTTAGCTAAAACATTTTGTTTTAATCCTTATTTCTACGCCGCAATTATAAACTTTGCAATTGAAAAACTTTGCAAAAATTAGTTCTGAGATCCATATTTGTGCAAACAGAAAAAGTGCACACCTCTAAGATTTTGGTAATATAAGTTTTGTTTTCTCTGATTTTCAATGCAATTAATTTAGCACAGGTCAAATGAAAATATAAAATTAATTAATCATGTATCAATTATTAAAAGATTAAAATTAAATTCCTATTTTTTAGATTAGACAAATGCACTAATTACTCACCACTGCCAGGCTTTGGGGTTTTTCCTTTAGGTTTCTTCTTCTTTATCTCGACCTTCTTCTGGCCAACCTTGACAACAGCGCCCCCCTCCTCCTTCTTCTTGTGGTCCAACGACTCGCAGGTCTCATTGCAGTACATCTTCTTCATACACTAAATCAATCCATCAATCAATCATTCAATCAACTGAAAGGTAAACATCATGGTCAAAATCAGTGCTTAGGATCAATTCAATTTTGATGCGGATCCGCATCCAGATCCTGGATCCGCACTGGAAAAAAAGGATCCAGATCCAAATCCAAATCCGGATCCAGGTCATTTCTTTATGATTAACTGATTTTTTTTAACAACATTTTTTTTCAAATGTTTGGTTTTATCTTTTTCGGTTATTTTTATCCTAAAACTTGATGAACCATTCAGAAATGAGGAAATTTTTATAATCTCTTTATTCAAAAGTTCAGATTTAGGGTTTTGGAGTAAAAAAGATTTTTTTTTGTAGTTTTTGATTGATATTTTACCCCTTGGATCCGGATCCGTGGATCCGCATATTTTTGCGGATCCGGATCCAGGAAGCCGAAATCTTGCAGATCCAACGGATCCAGATCCTAAGCACTGGACTCAAAATAAACATCACAAAGAGAAGCCAGAAAGAGAAAAACTCCCCAGAAGTCTTTATTTATTATTTGTAAACGTTTCCTAATATAAAGAAAACCATTTTATCTCCATTTATTTATCTGGAAATAAAATTGATTTAGACTGAAGAAGAAACCTAATTTTTGAAACCGAAAATCGATTTTTCTCATTTTTATAAATATGTAAAAATAGTGGGGTCACTTAAAATTAAGTATTCAGTCATTTTAAATCATGTAAATGTAAGCATGTTAACTCGAATTTCCAAGAACAAAGTCTATTACGAACATTGTTCTTTGTTTCAAAATAACAATTTTCAAAATTCCAACTTGCCTTAGGGTGACGTTTAGTGCATCGCTTCGTAGGGTTGTTCTTCTTACACACTATACACTTGGAGCTGTCCTGTACGAGTTGTAAAGTAAAATAGATTTTTTAAAAAAAAATTATTCGATTAAATAAAATTTTTTTCAATAATGGTTTGACCCATGTGAATGATTAATCGTATTCAAGAAGGAAAAGAGGAAAAGAAATGTTTGCAGAGGTGTATATATTTTTAAAAATTTCACTCCTGTGAAAGCATAAAATATATGTAATAAGACTCTTCAGTCGCTTTCTTGTTTCACAGTTTTGTGAATAAATAGTTGAAAATCCTCATATTCACTTTCAAATATTTGTCTGCTGCTGGCTTTATGATATTTACCAAGCATCAATGCGACAATCCAATAAACGTCAAAACGGCGGAACCAATCGGGCCCAAATTTTGTGTGGGACCTCTTATGACCCCAGATTTCATAAAATTTAGAAAATCCACGAAATTTTTATTTATATTCACTAACTTATTTTGTTTTTGCAATAGAACATGGGGTGGGAACCTCCCCTGAAAGTCTGGTACGAATATACTACCATTAAAAATGATAATTAAATCAAAATTTAAAATGATGATTTAAACGGATAATTCTCAAAAATAATGTTTGAATTATAAATAGTATAAATAGTAATGGATGTGATTTCAAGCGACACTCCAATATAAGATTCACAACGTTACCCATAAAACCCAGGGGCGGATACGGGGGGGTGGGGCGACAGGACTTTTACACCCCCCTTACAGATTTTATTGCTACTCAGATTGAGGTTTTCCAGGGGCAGATACAGGATTTAAGTGAGGGGGATGCTAGATTTATTTCGGAACCAAAAAATCCAGATTTTGGAACCAAAAAACGCGCCGCAATTGAAACTTTTTTTATGATGGATATTTTTTTCTATTTTGAACTAGGTTTGCTTTTCTCCGTCCTGAATCCGTCAGGGGGGGGGGGTGGAAAGGTCCTACCGCCCCCCCCTGTATCCACCCCTGATAAAACTTCTATCAAAGTAGCAATTAAGCAGAATATCGTCGTTTTTCTAGATTAAATAGATTTAAATTTCATAATTTCCTTCCTTGTTTCTGTGGCACATAATTAGAATATAATCAGAATTTGAAATTATCAATCTGAAGCTTGAAAAGAATACTTTAATCAATTTTACTGTGGGAAAGGTTTGGCAGGTACCAACGTGAATCGGGTGTGAAATTGGATCACTTGAAAAAATAGTCTACAAGTCCCCATGTTGGTCCAATTCCACATTATGAAATATAAAATATTTTCTACAATTTGATTTTTTTTCTTTTCAACTTATCCCTGAGAGTTAGAATCCTGCTCCGACAGGACAGGGCTAGACTCGGATAGGACGGAACCAGACTCCGGAGCCGGAGAATCCTTTGGTTTCTCCGTAGGAACTTCTAAGGAGGTCTCCGCTATCTGAACCTAGGTCAAAGGAGACGTTATTTGTATATGAAAATACATAGAGAGATGATGGGGTTCAGCACCAACCCGACCCGTGTATCTAGGATTTAATTTAATCCCTGTCATTTCATAAGACAGGATAGAACTAAAAATTCCCAAATAATTAATTCAGAAAGCACAAAACTTTCTTTGATTGGAGAAAAAATAATTCTTTACATAATAAAGGTTTCTGGAACATGACCACCCTACTAACCGGAAAACCTAAAATACGTATTCGTAACAATTTATTTGATAAAAATACGTATTTTTTATACGCAGAAATACTTATATGACAAACGTAAAAATGTGTATGTGAAAAACCTAAAAAATCCAATGAACCATGATTTTTTAGGGTTTTCCAGTAGCAAATACCTACTCCATATTGTCAATAACAATTTACTTGAGAGGTATCTATTCAGGTCTACTCGTTACCAAGATCAACCAGGACCAACTTTTCTATTCTAAATGCCACAAAAGCACTATCTCAACCAGGCTTAACCATCCGTTTCAATGAATAATCACATTACGTCTAAGTTTAAAACATAAAATCATTTATGACGTACAACGTAATGCCAGAGGTCAATATAATTCCTTTTTCAATCCCATTTGGGATTGACAAATTTAAAAGAAATGGGGGCAAATATTGGGGGCAAAAAATTATTTTGGGATCGAGAAAATCAGCTTTTTTGGGAATTATATTGACCCCAGCGTAATGCCAGTTCACAGAATATCATGTGTACACGCATGGTATGATAAATATGTTAAAATACGGAAATATATGCAAGTTCTTTACCAAAAAGTTGAGCATACTAATTTTTACGTAAATATACCTAATAAGACGTATACTTATATATAGGCTTTAGTATTTTTAGGTTTTCCCGTTAGTTATAGGACAGTCCCCCTAGGTCGAGTTAGGTCAGGAATTAGGTCAAGTAACATAACTGGTCTCATACTGGTCTTAAACTGACCAGTCCACTTAGGTCAGATTTGGTGAAGATTAGCCGGGTTACGTCAGCATACCTTACTGGTCAGAACATGACCAGCCCCACTAGATTGTGTTAGGTCAAGTTAAGTCAGGTTAGGTTGAGTTACCTAACTGGTCTCATACTGGTCTTAACCTGACCAGTCCAACCAGGTTGGATTTGGTCGGGATTGGTCAAGTTACGTTGGATTACCTAATTGGTCAGAACATGACCAATCCCCTTAGGACCGGTTAGGTCAGGGTAGGTCGGGACAGGTCGGGTTACTTAACTGGTCTCATACTAGTCTTAACCTGGCCAGTCCAACCAGGTTGGATTTGGTCGGGATTAGTCAGGTTACGTTGGATTACCTTACTGGTCAGAACATGGCCAATCCCCTTAGGACCGGTTAGGTCAGGGTAGGTCGGGACAGGTCGGGTTACTTAACTGGTCTCATACTAGTCTTAACCTGACCAGTCCAACCAGGTTTGATTTGGTCGGGATTAGTCAGGTTACGTTGGATTACCTTACTGGTCAGAACATGGCCAATCCCGTTTAGGTTGGGTTAGGTCACGTTCTCACTCCTGCAGGAACTATGCTTCCTTTTTTAATTGTGACTTCATTTGTAATCAAGAAAAATAACCCAAAAATATTAAATCAATTTTAATCGAAAAAAGGATTATGTTTTTAAAAATGAGATCTGATTTTTCTACCTTAAAAATGATTAAAGGGACTGTAAAGGAAAGTGCCAATAAAATTGACATAGTTTTTTTTCGATTAATTACTGCATATCTTTATCTTTTGTGAAACTAATTTTAAAAATAATTTACCCCTTACTTTTTTGAATCACCTAAATAATCCGTTTAAGGATTTTATTTCTCTGTTTGTCCGATTGATCTAATTTTAAATGAAATAATTTCAAAAGTAAATTTAACTTTTTGCTTGCTTACTTTCATTGCATATCATGCTTTTTACTCTAAAGCATTAAGCATCTTCTTTTAAATTGAAAAGGTAAATTGGAAATGTCATCAGACGCTTTTAGAATATTTTTGTATCAATTCTTGGACTGCTCGCAAATTTAGTCACGTTGATTCTATTAAAGGGACTGTAAGCTAGTACCCTTGACACCTTTACCTGATTAATAATATAGAATTCCGCATCATTAATCTTAAGATATTATCAGTTTTCTAGGTTTAAAAGGATTTAATTCTGATAATTCCTATATTTAAATAGGTTTGCTGAAGTTGAAATGAGCAAGTCACAATTGAAAATAACCAACTTTTCAAAGATTTTAATTCATATATTTGAGCAGGCAAAGCTTTTAATTCATATATTTGAGCAGGCAAAGCTTTTAATTCATATATTTGAGCAGGCAAAGCTTTTAAGGGTACCGTTAGGAATTGGGCATTGTCATTGCTTGAAGGGTCACTTGAAATTACGCTTTCAGTCCCTTTACTGGGTTAATTTGAATTGTTAAAATTATGAAGAATAAGATAATATTTATGCATTAATAGGAGTCAATTTTAACATTTTTTATTTAAACATTAAAAGCAAGATGAATTTCACAAATTAACAGAATTAATCATTGATAAGGACACCTCTATAGGACACATCTCCTATCTTTAAAATTTATTCTAAGATTCAGGATCAGAGAGAAAAAATAGACGGATGAATGAAAATCAAGTAAATTGATAAATTATTCATTTAGCTGACACCTTAGATAAACTTGTATTTTTTCTGGACTTAAGATCCTTTGAAGGTTGCAAAAAAGTATGACACTCATATTGATGGAGTTCTTTAAATTTTTATTCATGGAATTCAAGGAGTCATTAGTTAATACAGGGAGTCATTAGTTTATTCAGGGAGTCATTAGTTGATTCAGGAAGTCATTAGTTAGTGCAGGGAGTCATTAGCTAATACAGGGTGTCATTAGTTAATACAGGGAGTCATTAGTTAATACAGGAAGTCATAAGTTAATTAAAGGAGTCATTAGTTAATACAGGGAGTCATTAGTTAATTTAGTTAATTAAAGGAGTCATTAGTTAATTCAGGGAGTCATTAGTTAATACAGGAAGTCATTAGTTAATTCATGGAGTCATTAGTTAATTCAGGGAGTCATTAGTTAATACAGGGTGTCATTAGTTAATACAGGGAGTCATTAGTTAATACAGGGTCTCATTACTTAATACAGGGAGTCATTAGTTAATACAGGAAGTCATTAGTTAATTCAAGGAGTCACTAGTTAATACACGGAGTAATTAGTTGATACAGGGAGTCACTAGTTAATACAGGGAGTCATTAGTTAATACAGGGAATCATTAGTTAATACAGGGAGTTTATTTAGGGAGTCGTTTATAATATAGGGAGTCATTAGTATATTTAAGGAGTCATTTTTTAATAGAGGTAGTCATTAGCTAATACAGATAGGGTCAGGGAGTCATAAAGAAGTATTTTCACAAAAACATAGATATTGTTAAAATAAAACAATAATTACATAAAAATAATTACATTTTTTTCTGATTTCAAATGTTAATTTATTAGTTTTTGTTTTAACTCTTTAAAAAGTACGAATATTAAAATGCTGATAAAATAAATTTGATTGAATTTGCAGAATCTAGTTATCCGTTCACCTAGCTTAATTCAGAGCAGGGATCCGTATAAATATATTTAACTTCTTACAGTAATATGAATCCTAGTGCACGGAGCTAAAGATTTAATTTATTCAGTTCCTTCTCACATCTTATCCGTCTTGCATCTATACGTCCTGGATCTATCCGACCTGGATTTATCCGTCCTGGATCTATCTGTTCTAAAGATCTATCCTTCCACGATTTAATAATCATGGATCTATCCGTCCGGGATCTACCCGTCCTATAAATCTTTCCTTCCTGGGTTGATTCGTCCTGGATATATCCGTTCTGAATCTATCTGTCCTGGATCTATCTGTCCTGGATCTATCTGTCCTGGATCTATCCGTCCTGGATCTATCCATCCTAGATCTATCCATCATGGATACAGTCATCCTAGATCTATCTGTCCTGGATCTTTTCATCCTGGATTTATCCGTCCTATTTCTATCCATCATGGATCTTTCCATCCCGGATCTATTCATACTGGATCTATCTGTCCTGGATCTATCTTTCCTGGATCTATCCATCCTGGATCTATTCATACAGGATCTATTCATACAGGATCTATCCGACCTGGATCTATCGGAAACCTGGATCTATCCGAAACCTGGATCTATCCGAAACCTGGATCTATCCGTACTGGATCTATTAATCCTGGATATATCCATAGTAGATCTATACATCATGGATATATTCATATTGGATCTATCCGACCTGGATCTATCCTTCCTGGATCTATCCGACCTGGATCTATCTGTACTGGATCCATCCAACCTGGATCCATCCACCCTGGATCCATCCAACCTGGATCTATCCGTCCTGGATCTATCCGACCTGGATCTATCCGTCCTGGATCCATCCATGCTGGATCTATCCATCCTGGATTTTAAAGTGAGTTTCGAATGTCCAGAAATTTCAGAGAAAAAAATGGAGAAATTATTTCTGAGCTTGAAGAATATTCTGAATTCGACTGATCCAGAGGAATCATGGAAACATCAAATATTTGAAATGTTAAAGGAACTGTAGAGTGTAGAGTGTAAAGCTCTTTAAATAGAAGTTAGATAGACGATGATTTCCTCCACATTGTTCTATGTATTCTTTAAAGATGGCAATATTGGCCCGATTTACAACGGTATCTGTGAAATCTATATCTAATAAAAAATATGGAAGATATTGACGTTTTTCTAGGTTTAAATGTATTTAATTCTGATAATTTCTATATGTTGTCCTACCGTAGAACTGCGCAATTGTGACTTTTATGAGACACAGCTTTTAAGAAATTATGGTTACCGTATGATTTAGGGCATTGCCATCTTTACTCGGAGGATCACTTGAAATTACGCGCGCTGTCCCTTTAGGCTAAATGCGATAAAAGAAATTGGGAACATAAACCATTTCAAATTCTCTGTCGAAAAAAATTTACGTAAAAAATGTTTGAGGGTAGATTTTTTCACAATATGACTGTCTTAAACCGACCTTTTGATTTGACCTTGCCAGAGCCTCAGGTAAAAGTCTAAAAGTCGGTACTACAGTGGTAACCAGAACAGTCTGGAATAGAATGTTGACTTTAAGAATCAAGTTATGACTTAAAATAGTACAATGAATATGAGGCAAAGCAATTGTGCAGTGGAAATAGACCCATTTCATTTACAGGGTGTCCCAAGAAACACGACAGTTGGTAATTAGTTTAAATGTCTTCCTCCATAATTTGTTAAGTTGTTTAATACCAAAGACAATAATAAAAATATTATATAGGAGTCATATTATAGTAAAATTAACTTAAAAGTAAAATATATTTAAGCAAAAGATTTTTAAAACGAAATAAACTGCAAACAGCCTTTAATATCTAATACAGTGTAAGGAAGACGACATTCAAAACTATTTACCAACTGTCATGTTTTGTTGGATAGCTAGTAAATAGCTAGGCTACTTGCTTTGTAACAACATCAAATGCACTTCAGTATTGCATTAATGTCGTCTTCCTATTCTACAGCTTTCTGTCACAGTATATAGCAAACCTATAAACACATTAAAAGTTGCCACCGTGGATATCGATTGTAGATATATAGCATTAGAGACCATAGCAATGTACATTCCGGTTTATTTCAAGTACCAGGCCGACTTAGGCTAGAGCAATCTGTACAGCAAAAATATACAGAGCGTCCCATATCGTATTAGATTATATCCAATCTTTAATGCCAAAATACGCACATAATACTCAAAAAATCTAGCATTTTCTGCAACATTTTTTTCTATTAGCCTTATTCAATTTTTCAAAATGATTCATTTTAAATTTTCTGATTTGGCCCCCAAATCGTAATTTAGACCCATTGACGCGGTCTAATTTGATATGGGACACCCTGTAGAATATAAAAGTCGAAACGAAACAGTGCGCCAGATGAATCAGCCCCTTATTGTGAAATTTATGGGACAGGACCCATTTAAAATGGGGTAAAAGTGTTAATTGATATTTGTTGTAAATAGAAAACCCATAGATTGATAACCATACAGAAAGGACACTGGATGTCGTCTTTTCATGTTTTAAGTTTTTTTTTCGTTTTCACAATAACCCTGAGGCAGAAGCCCAAGAGAGTTACGCGCATGCTGCTTTGAATGACAAGACAAGACAGAGAGAGAGAGCAATACGCATAATTTCTTTGCCTCAGGGTTATTGTGAACAAAAACCCCTAATTCTTGGGACATCTTGTGTACAATCTGTATTATTATTAATCTACGAGAAAACCATATAAATAGGGTTAAACCCAAAATGAGTCAATTTAATCCTTTTTTAATTGCTTTGGTTTCCATTATTTTTGACAAGGCAATGGATGATATGACTGTTGAGGAAGAATGCGTTATTTTTTTTCTTAAAAAATATTTTGAGCTTCGTGGTTCAACAGTTCACCATGTTCATAATATACAAGGTAAATTATGCTACGAAATCAAGTATTAAAAAATAAGATTTTAGAACTTTTGGGTGAACAAATTTAAAAAAAGAGATTGTTAAAGGATTTTTTTAGATCACTTTTGAATTACATATCATTGTTTTTGTTTTTGAAAACTGTCTATTTTCATTTGTGGTTTCTCTGCAAAATTGACTCGGGTATTTCTTGCTTTATTAAAAAAACGAAAGTTTTGAAATATTTGCACATGGCTGAGTAAAATTGGTTGGTTAAAAATGAAAAAAAAGAAAACTATTGACGAACATCAGTGGTTACATCATGGGAGCTTTTAGAGCTTCATGTTGGTGGTGCAGATCATCAATATCTTGACAGCAGGTTTGCTCACCACACCTAGGCTTCAGACTAAGGGAGAGAGATCGCAGTTTTATCATGTGCGATTGAGCGATTATGTTGTCTCTGGAATGCATGATAATTTTGGAACTCTGGAACATTGTGGGGCTAGATGTCAGCAGTGTCTGCGGTTAGCTCGGTATCTGCATCACCATCATGAAGGGTCATCAGGGTTGAGACGTAGTTGTGGACGTCTTAAGTGTTTCAAGCTGACTGCCGGGCTGGGATGTGTAGAGGGGGGGACGAAGAAGCGAGGGTGACATGTGGACGGAAAAGGATTCATACGTCTTGAAAACAAGCAACGGGTAACGGCATCGGAGTCGGTAAAATCGTCTTCCTTATATTTCGAATTTGTGTTAACAACCTTTTACTCAGTTACTGATGGACCCAACTATGGACCTGTTTCTACAAACGTGTCTTTAAGATTTGAAGCTGTCTCCACCAACCCAGATGGAGAGGTAAAGATATAATATTCATTATTGTAAGCTATTCGTTATTTATTTGCTTAAACCTTGATGTTGTTTCAAACCTTAATCTTCTTTCTAACCTTATTGTTCTTTCAAACCTTAATGTTCTTTCAAACCTTAATGTTCTTTCAAACCTCATTGTTCTTTCAAACCTTAATGTTCTTTCAAACCTTATTGTTCTGACAAACGTAATGTTCTTTCAAAAATTAACGTTCTTTCAAAAAAGTTAAAGCTTTTTAAAACGTTAACATTTATTCAAATGTTAACATTCTTTCAAAGCATTCGTTCATCATTGTTCGTTATTCGTTAATTACTTGTTCAAACGATAGTTCGTTTAAGGTTAACATTCTTTAAAATGTAAATGTTCTTGAAAAAGTAGGATAGTGAAGGAAAAGTAGGACAGTGAAGGAAAACTAGGATAGCGGAGGAAAAGTAGGATAGTATAGAGGAAACATTGGATAGTGAAGGAACAATAGGATAGTGGAGGAAAAGTAGGATAGTGGAGGAAAAAAAGGATAGCGAAGGAACAATAGGATAGTGGAGGAAAAGTAGGATAGAAGAGGAAAAGTAGGATAGTGGAGGAAAAGTCGGATAATGGAGGAAAAGTAGGATATGAATTTTTTACATCACATCATGCAGGATGAATTTGATATTTTAAAATCTGGAATCGTATTTTACAAGATCTTCTCATGTTTCTAGGGCCCTTCAAAGTTATTACAACCTGGTCAGAAACCATATTTAAAAAAATGTCGAAAAATTTATTTAAGGAAGAAAATGGAGAAAAATGCCTTAGTTTTGAGAATGTTGGAGCTGTTTAAACTTTAAAGTGAGTGTACGCGAAAAATGAAAGGGTGTACAGGCTTACGGCGAAAAATAAGCGCTTTTGATCGCTACTAATCTTACTTCTATATGTTGTGCCTCTATAAGGAGAAAATTGTTAAAAAGGACTCATGCTGTAGAACGTATACGTCCATAGTTTGATCTCAATTTTCTAATTTAAAATCTTAGTTTAATTCTAATGTTTCTGGGACATCCTGAAAAGTTAACTAAATTTCCGTCGTTTATCGACACTTTTTTATTTGAAATGTAGTTTTTTCTGACTCAAAAAATATCTGTTTCAATCCGATGTAAGGGTTGTGTGAGTTGAGTTGATAAATGCAAATTCTATGCATTTAAAATCCTAACTGTATGATTACGAACAAACATCAATCAACGCAGGTTTACAAATTCAAATTCATTAAACACTTTTCAAGATGGAATTCACTTAGGTTTCTGTTTTTAAGCATTTTCATGTGCACTATAGTTTCAGTAGAAGTAAATATTTTAATTTACTGATAGCGCCGATTGAAGGATTCATAACTCTAGTTTGATAATGAGATAGAAGGATAGATGTTACCGCCATACTATTTCTATTGGTTCAGAATAGACAACAAACACATGACTGAACCCTGATTGGACCAGGTGCTAATGGACTCGGCATACAGAAGTGTGTGTCTTGCAGTGCTTAGGATCCATTTTATTTTGATGCGGATCCGGATCCGGAATCCTCACTGAAAAAAAAAACAATCTCTCAGTGTATTTGATGACAAAGCTAAAAGTTTTACTTTACTTTTAGATTAATAATCACTTATTATTAAGTAAACTGGCTCTGTGTTCACTGTACAATGGCTGTGTTTCATATGTATTGCAACAATTTAAAATCATAATTAGAGTTTAAAATTATTTTTTATTTTTTAATAGTTTTCTCGTGCTCCCTGTTTAATTTATATCCTATCTTAATCATTTTCAGAAATGGAATTGTATCGACCCCTGAAATCATTTTCATAAATGGAATTGTATTGACCCCTGACATCATTTTCATAAATGGAATTGTATTGACCCCTGAAATCATTTTCATAAATGGAATTGTATCGACCCCTGAAATAATTTTCATAAATGGAATCGTATCGACCCCTGAAATTTTTATTTTGATATTTGTTTTATACAGTGATGACAGAAAACTTTGAAATAGAAAGACGACTTTTCAAGAAAAACTATTTGCTTAATAACACCATTAAATACACTTCAATATTGCTATAATGTCGTATTTCTATTCCACTGTTGTCTGGTTATCACTGAAATTCAGGACAAGGAGATAATGAGTGTGTTCCTGAAGATGCCCCCGATGCTCCCGATGAGCCTGGATAGAGTCTTTCAGACCGAACTCTGCTTTTATTCAAGGAAATCTGTTATTTTTTACAAAAACCTACAATTTAATTTTAAAGAATTTTAAAGTGATCGTCCATTTCATTAGAAGATACATGTCTAATTAGCAACGGTACCCTTCCAACCTTTATTGTCACACATTATAAAAAAGATCATTGTTAAAAATAATCTAAAAACTGATGTTTCTCTTTTACATGGACTTGGGGATTCATTCATCAGGGGCTGACAAGAAATATTATTGACAGCATTTATTTCTTTGCAATATGGATAAATAACGATTATTATTTTTTATTGTTACTCAGATAAAGGTTTAAAGTATACAGTCGTTACTACAGCTGAGGCTCATTTGAACTTACGAAAAGACTGTAAAGGAATTGAGTTTTTGCCACAAACTCAAATGTTCTAATCCTTATATCTTGGCAACCTAATCGTGGAAATCCTTGATATTTCAAACTTAGAATACTTTATCTAACAGAATTCATAGTTTGAAATATCTAACGTCCATGAAATTGGATTGCAAAGATATAGGTATTAGAAAATCAGAGTTTTGTGACAAAGACTCAATTCCTTTAATCGGATTTTTGGCAGAGCTTTGAGCTCCGACTGCTTCTTGTTGCACTTCACTTTTTATCTGACAGTCTTTGTGTTTTTCAAAACATAAACTGAATTAAAACTTTCTAGTTTCTGTCAACACTTTTTTGTTTTCAATTTATTAATTTAATCAAAATTAGAATGACATGCGTAAAAAGTGTACTTTGGCAATCCCGTCTTGGCGCCAATTTATCACGTGACTTTGGAAAAAGTTGGTGGGTGAAGGAGTTAAAGTGACCCAGTTCAACAACTTTTAAATAATTAAACCTGCAAATATCGAATATAAAAGTTTCCGTCGGAAAAAGAATAAAAATGTAAAAGAAAATAACAGTTATTTTCAGTTTGTTACCAGACATGTTAGGAAAGTGTATCTACAAAAATATAAAAAATACAAAAATAAATGCACTAAGGAATTGAGTCTTTGCAACAAACTTTGATTTTCTACCCTTTTATCTTTTCAATCCAATTTCGTAGACCTTAGATATTTCAAACAGATAATTCTGTTAAATCACAGGTTGCACAAAGTTAGAGATGAGTTTGTGACAAAGACTCAATTCCTTTTAACAATTACCCTCGGCCTAAATACCAACTAAAAAAAATAGGAATTAAAAGTTAAAAATGAGAATTTAACTAAAAGAAACTCAAAACTAAAGCAAGGTCTGAATAAAACCTAGGATTTTGTTCGAAATAGCGAAAAAACAAGAATATCTCCCTAAAACAAATTTTTTCCTAGAGCCTCAGTTTTAAGAATCTCTCCCAGACTTTCAACTGAACATAACTGAGTGTTAAAAAAATTTTAAATTTTGTTATACATAGATAACAATTATGCTCATGTTCCAACAAAATCTTTTAAATTTTGAAGTAATTTCGGTCACAGTGTACAGTAAAAACCACAACTCTGGAATAAAAAGACGACTTTAACACTTAAGTTTTAACTTTCAATATTCCAATAAACATGAGACGCGGCAATTGTGCAGCTTGCGAACAGACCCACTTCACTTAATATGTTCTTTATAGGTTATTAACATAACTATTTGCTTTGTAACAACATCAATTACGCTTACTTTTTATTAACCCAGTATTCTGATTATCTTTGTATGACAACAAATGTGTTGCCTTGTAAGATATTTCATGGAGGAAAGTAGATTAGGGATTATAAAGCGTGAACCTGGATTGTAAAACAAATGCAATTTATCTAACGGCGATTGCAAAATATTTCCCGAAAACAAAGAGTTTACTTTTTGCAAAGAAAATTTTCTCAAGCTTGAATATCGTTTAACCCTATTTTGCCTGACGTCTGGTTTCCTGACTGGCTGCTGGGGGGGGCGTCAAATTGCCCCCCCCTTTATTTTCTTATTGTGATACAAATCTATAACATTTGATACGTTTTTTTCAATAATCTGCAAAAAAATGTCAAATTTGCAAAATTCCAAATATTTATTGCAAAATCTAGTTATTAAACAAAAAATGTGCAAAAAATATTTGCGCAAATTGCAAGAAATTACAAATTTTTCAATACCCCTTGACCCAGCGAATTAAAATGTGCAAAATTTTAAAACCTAAATGTGCATTCAAGAAAAACTTAAAATGTGAAAATTCCCTTTAAAGGCGTCTGTGCAAAAAATCTCTGCAAAATTTCTTTGAAAAAAGTCTGCAATCTGCTTTCGTTTTTTTTAGGCTTTCCAATAGCTATAACATGTTGAAATCCAATGACTGGAAGAAGGCCTAATTATAGATTTAGTCTGAGGCAAAATAACGCATTTAGGCAGCATGCCTGAGGACTCGGACAGTAGCTTTTAGCCTTAAGTGAGGGGCATGGGTTAACTGGAAGAGCAAGAAAATTTGAGCTTCCTAGCTAAAATACTTTTTGAATTATCGCAAAATTGACCCCCACCCCCGGCCAAAAAGGGTTAACATAAATTTTTTGGATAGTTTTGCAAAAGAATGATTAAAAGGACTGTAAACTGTACTGTACTGTAAACTTTACTATACTGTACTGTACTGTACTGTAAACTGTACTCTCCATTACAAAATATGGGAAGAAATTGGTTTTAATTTATTTAATTAACAATCACAGTCCCAACCATTTTGATTAAAAAAACTAAAGACTCTTTTCAATATTTTTCAACTAAAGAATAAATCCCGGGAAAGTTTTGAAGGTGGTGTTTAAAATAATACAAATCCGCCTATTTTCTACTTGCCCTGCAATATTCATGTAATAAAACAAAAATATAGTTCTTTCTTTTAAGAACTTTTAAAGTTTTTGGAATAATGAAAGGCCCCAGCAAAAATGCTGTGAATTTATAAAGTTTCCAACATTTCGTTAAATTTTGATTTTTTGCAAATATTTTCTCTCACGACAAAAAAAATAATTTAAATTTTTAAGTTTTAACATTCTTAACATTCAGTCAGAATTTTGCAAAACTTTAAAAGTACAAAAAGCTTACAAATTATATATTTAGATTTAAAACTCTTGAAAAATCTGAAAAGTTTTCAGATTATGTCACTAAAACTGCATTCAATAATTTTTCAACGTTAATCAGAATTTATGGGGATTTTACTAAATGCTTCAAGGTGATCAATTAATTAATCAATTTGATAATCAACCGAGGAAAACACATTTTGGACACAGGTATAGGGCTGGACACAGGCACGGGGCTGGACACAGGTATAGGGCTGGACACAGGTATAGGTCTGAACACAGGTATATGGCTGGACACAGGTATAGGGCTGGACACAGGTATAGGGCTGGACACAGGTATAGGTCTGGACACAGGTATAGGATTGGACACA